TCTTTACTGTTCAGTTAAAGGATGGTTTATGTGGGACTGGCTCTGTGTGATTCATCAGGCTCAAATGGAGAGCCAGGCAAATGTTATGGGTCCTAATACATAATTACCCAAACGGTGTAATGAGCTAATTCTACTGCAGATTGGTCAGTAAAAGCCTCAAACACAAGAGATGATGCCATGAATTTGGGCATTTATGGATAGATCGCTGTTTTCAGTAATACATCTTGAAGAATTGCTCAAAGACTCTCTGCACGCACAATGATAACTCCTCTTGGAGGGCTTGTTATGATTACATAAGTAGTTATTTGGGTCATTCTAAAGAAACGTCCACTTTTCTCCATAGGTGTCACTGGTGTTACTGATCATCATTGGTGTTACACATAATAAAGGGAACACCAGAGACATTTTTGATAAAAAAAATGCACTTCACAAAATGGCTGCTACAGAGCATCAAACCACATGTTGTCAATCAGGGAATATCCACTAAAATATGGAATTTAATCCATTTGTATTCTATTTTTTCACAATGACCTCAGAATAAAGTCAGTCACACCAGTGACTTCAGCTAAAAGCTTCATATGAAATCATGAGCTAAATGAGAAAATCTCTGATAACTGAAAGACACAGTGGACTCATCATGTGCTTTTCTTCATAGATCCTCAGAAAACAGGTAAAAGGAAGTCAAGTGATGTCATCAGTGTGATTTTTATTTCAAAATAAGAGTTTTTTATTACACGGTAACAGCAGTGACACGACTCCTGGGGACAACAACTATATTTATTTGACATTTGTTTTCTTTATATCATTTAAATCATATATTTCATATTCATGTATAGATTATTGTAGTTAAAATAGCAGAAAAACATGTTTTTTACCTGAAAATATGGTCTCACCCTTCACACATGACTGTGAGGACGAGCTCTTCTGTGGTGGAATTCTAGATAATTGATTTAAAAACCAATATCGCTAAAATCATGGCTGAAGAAGGTGTCGTTGTTAAAATAACGTATTGCTTTATTTTAAAATATAAATAAATTGTAACATGTTTTTTAAGTGTAATATATCTCTAAACACTAGGGACACAAAAATGGACATTTCTGTAGAATGACCCATTTATCTGTTACCATAGCACAGAGTTCATATACATTCATTGAAAACACAGGTTTTCTCAGCAAAAGGTGATTTTCGGGGTGCTATATAATAGCATAGTTTTGTACATCATGAATAAGAACCTATCAATATATTAAAATATGCTAATGAGAAGGTTACAGTGTGGAAATTTGCTTACAGTGACAAAACATGCCTGTACTAAGGTGGCTTACTGGTTTGAAATGTCTGGACTGTGCAGGAAGCTGTTGATGAATGATAATGGCGTGTAAAAAATTACACTGGTTTCCAATATATATTTCACATCTATCTAATATATTGTCAGATATGATGCCGAGCTCTTCTGGTAGCTTAGCTGAAGCTTCATTGACCCAAGTTTAAAGAATAAAGGCTCAAATCTGAAGCTATGCTGTTGAGTGGGAAGCTGTTAGCTTTTTGGTCTGATGTCCTTGTTAGCACTAGAAGCTAGTGGCAGCTTAGAAGGCTAAAGCAGCTTTACTCAGGTTCAATTCTGGCTCACTGAAGGTTCACTGATGCAAGTTTACACTATTAAGGCTCAAACCTGAGCAGGTAAACCTCTGTTTTAGTGTGTGGATCTGTTAGCTACGCTACTCATGCTTCACTATCCTCGTTAGCACTAGAGGCTAATGTTAACTTAGCCAGAAGGCTAAAACAGCTTTACTCACCACAAGACAGGTTCAATTCTGGCTCACTTAAGATCCACTGATTCAAGTACAGAGAATTAAGACTCAAATCTGAGCAGGTAAACCTCTGTTTTAGTGTGGGGATAAATATTAGCTAATCTACTCAAGCTCCACTATACTAGTTAGCACCAGAGGCTAATGTTAACTTAGCAAGAAGGCTAAAACGTCTTCACACATCACCGTCAATGCACTGAGGCAAAAGTATCAATTCCGTTGTTAAGACAGCATTTTTCCATCTTCGCAATATTTTTCGCCTCCGACTGTAGAAACACTTGTGCATGCATTGGTGACATCATGGTTAGATTACTGCAATGTTCTTTTTTCTGACCTCCATGTCAAAACCCTCACTAGGTCACAGTATGTTCAAAATGCCTCTGTTAGGATCGTCACCTTTTCAAAAAGGAATGACCACATCACCCCTGTCCTTCAGGGACTTCACTGGTTGCCCATTACATTCCGTGTTCAGTACAAGGTTCTCCTTATCACATATAAAGCTTTGCTTGGTCTGGCTCCTTGTCAGAGCTTCTTCATCTATATGTCCCATCCTGTACTTTAAGACCACAAAATCTAGGCCTTCTTCATGTTCCAAGGTTTAAACTGACTTCTATGGGTGGTCGATCATTTAATGTAGTAGCTCCCAAATTATGGAATTCTCTCCCCCAGTCTATTCGGGATGCAACCTCTCTGTCTTCATTTAAATCTCTGTTAAAGACTTGTTCTCACTGTGTTACCGTTGTTCTGTTTATACTTGAATGCTTATCTGTATTGTCCTTTTGTTTAATGTGTTGATGTTTAATGTGTTGATGCTCTTTGATTGTAAAGCGTCCTCGAGCATGGGAAAGGCACTATATAAATAAAAGTGATGATGATGATGATGATGATGATGAAAAGTAGAGGATAAAGACTCTAATCGGAGCAAATGAACCCTGCTAAAAAAAACACCAGATACCAGCATGCATTCTATGCTGGTCTAAGCTGGTTTATGGTGGTCTAAGCTGGTCTAAGCTGGTCCGGTGCTGGTTTAGCTGGTCAGGCAGCATGACCATATCATCATCCAAAACACAACATATGCTGAGTTTGCTGGTAACTGTGCTGGGATGTGCTGGTTTTTCGAGCAGGGACGTCGAGTAACTGGTGTTGGAGTGACAGAAATACAAAACCTGTTAGCTAGTGTGACAAAAATGCTAATCCTGCTAGTTTTTCTGATAATTAAAGTTTTATTATTAAATCATTTTCACCAAAGTTAGGAGCACAGAATGCAAGGTAGGTGGGGGAAGGGGTGGAGTTTGGAAATAGGAAGGCATAATGTTTCAGGATGCTGCTGCGCAATTTTTAATCATTTGTTGGGCATTCAATAATACATAATCTATTTAACATTGGTTGGTGATAAGTTGCCATGATATACACGACTATAAATGCTGTGAAATTTTATAGCACACTTAGGACTCCTTTTGAAAACATATCTTATTGCTGAAATTTATGTTGTCTTTTTCAGTTCATATATACACATGAGAACGTAGAATCTACTAATGAATTTAATGGAAAACATTCCTGAAACTATTAATAAAAGATGCTAGAAATACCAGCAAAGACTGACCAGTAAATGTTCCCTCAAAGGTACAACAGTGGTTTTAAGGTCTGATTGTGAACCTTAAATAAGTTTTTCCAGGTGAAAAGTTCGTATTTGTACCTTTTCATAACCGAATGTTTTAAAACAGAACAGTAAAATAAAAGCCTGGAGGCGAGACGGGGTGTGTGGAGTCAGTACAGCTTAGAGAATATCATTTCAGTGGATTATGGTACAGATATGTTCCCTGACTAAAGGTACTGAGATGAACCCTTGAGGGAACCACCCCAGTGACAAGAAGGGTCCTGCCCCAGTGACAGTTACGTACCTTTATTTCTGAGAGTGTACCAGAATAACCATGTTGAGTGACCAAGATTAACAGGCACTAGACCAGCATAAACCAGCTTAGTCCAGTATGGATTTTTATTTATTTATTTATTTATTTTCCAGCTGGGGCCTGCCACTGTTTTACCTGACAGCACTGACAGGACATAACCCTAATGGGTTTGCTGTAAAAAAGCCAAGTGAAAGCTTTTACCTATTGTAAGTTGAATAGGTAGATTTTTGTGTCAACACACAGAACCTTCCTTGGCAACAAGCTAGATTCTCATGCTTCATAGAAGGGCAGTAATATACAGTAAGTTAGGTGGTATATTGTCTCTTATATGTAACATTTGTTTCTCTTGCTAATTAAGCAAAACCAATGATCACATGAGTGAGTTAATGAATATTTATCATCATTGCACAGAACATATTTTAATTGCAGATGCGATCGAAACATTCACACTTTTCAATCCTGACTATTCTTATATTTAATCTGAAGAAAATATTTCCCTTTTATATTTTACCCTGACATTAGCAAAGCTGTTCAGTAAGAGCAGCAGGAAACCAGTACCCACACTGTTAGAAATAAAGGTTCTGTGAAGGTACTTTTTTCATTCATCAAGGTACAAACAATGTAAATGTTCCCTCAAAGGTACAACAGTGGTTTTAAGGTCTGATTGTGAACCTCAAATCAGTTTTTCCAGGTGAAAAGTTCGTATTTGTACCTTTTCATAACCGAATGTTTTAAAACAGAACAGTAAAATAAAAGCCTGGAGACGAGACGGGGTGTGTGGAGTCAGTACAGCTTAGAACATATCATTTCAGTGGATTATGGTTCAGTTATGTTCCCTGACTAAAGGTACTGAGACGTACCCTTGAGGGGACCACCCCAGTGACACAAGGGGTCCTGCCCCATTGACTGTTTAGCACCTTTATTTCTGAGATTGTGCAGCTTTCAAGCCTCTAATTGTTTCTTTTTGCATGCAAAAGTCATCTAAAGTGATCTACTATTGCATAACAGTAGCTGACTAATCTAAATCAGATGCTTTCTAACCTGATAAGTGCTACAGGCTAACTAGCATAGCAGGTATGAGCTAGCACTGAAGTTTGCTATGTGAGAACTTCACATGTAGCAGGCATTGCACTGGTGCCATCACAGTCCTGGTGTGTAAATGATACCATTAGTTCACCTCTAAGGTGGAGCAAACTCTGTAAGAACTTGCACGGCTGTTTGATTCATCTATATATGGGCATGTTAGACTTTCTGTGAGTCTGTGTTCGTTAAATGACTCACTTATATTCTGATTCATTCCAGTTTGGCTGCCTACTTTACTGGTGAGAGAAATTATTCGCAACACTGATGCCACTGATTTACCAAGGTCACTGCAGAAGAAACGATGGAGCAACTGAAACCAGGTAAGTGAAAGAAAAATAGCTGAAATCTGAATTTGAATGTAGTCGTGATCATAAATGTGACTTATTATGGTATAGTCATTCCACAAAATGGGTGCCAAAGAGTCTTTTGCTCATTTAACTTTTTCTCCATGCCAAGAAACAACTTATTGCTTTTACACCTCATTGTTTTACACAAAGACGTACAACCATCACACTGACAGAATGACGAGGTGGAATATTTCATGAAAAACAGGCTGCCAGGCCCTCTGTTATCATGTTTTCCACAGTAAATTACATGACTTCTCTGTGAACACTGCAAAACTTTCCTCTGTCCAATTACTGTGACAGATGGACATCTTGTGCTTAACGGACTTTGTTAAGAATAGAGAGAAGAACAAATTATAAATATTGAGGAAAAACTAAACTTGCCAGTTTTTGAACTTGGCTTGACTTGAACTTAAATGATAATAGTTACTCATCACTGTATAGAGTACTTTAATAAAGTCAGACACCACCCTTTATTTATTTTTTTATTTCCAGTCAAAACAGTGTAAGAATGATGCAGAAGCCTCAGCAACTCAATTTAATATTGATTTTTTTTCAGCATTCAGTGAGTCACTCTTTACTTTTATTACAGCTTCCTTACTTTTCAGGCGACTCTTTCAGTTCCTCAAATGACCTCCAAAGTTCAGTCTTAGAAGCTGGTTGATCATTTTCTAAAGTAATCAAACACATTCAGTGGTGTTGAGGTCTGGACTCTGGGGAGGTCAGTCCATTGTACAGCTTCTTTGTTTGATGTGTCCGTCTCCTTTTCTCAGTGAGGTTCTTCTTGAACAGCTACACATCCTTTCAGACCCACAGCGCTGAGTCGTCTTCTCACAGTGGAAGGATGGACAGAAACACCTGTGGATGTTTTCAGATCTGAAGCAGCTTGATTTTCTCCTCTCTCTCAGAGATGAAAGCTTTAAGTGCTGCTTATCTGATGGGGGCAGTTTTGGTGTTGAGCAGGTCTTCCAGGTGGTTGTTAGGAGCCCCATTTTCTTAGTAGCTTTTATTTAATTTTTTGTACTTATTTTTTATTTTTTTTATTTATTTTTTGGTGCAATGGTGAAGCAAAAGGGACAAATTATATTTTTATTTGAATTAGCACTTAGTATTACAATATTATAATATTATAATAATAGTCAATTAAACCAGACTTTTTAAGATAAGATAAGATAAGATAAGATAATCCTTTATTAATCCCACAATGGGGAAATTTGCGGTGTTACAGCAGCACAGAAGACAGAGCAGCAGGAAATATACAAACAATATATAAAATAGAATAAACAATACATTTTTTCCCAAGTTTTCCATTTTTTGTCCATTTTTTTTTTTGTCCAATCATCATGAAATTGTGATACAATGATACAACATAAAGGACAACAGGTATTTTTAATTATGTCAAAAACTATATATATATATATATATATATATATATATATATATATATACATATATGTGTGTGTGTGTAATGATACAATCTAAATTAATATATTTAAGCTTGAAAGACACTTTTTACCAAAAGTTTGTCCCTTATATCTGACAAATAATCAAAGATAAATAATCATTAATGTGGACTGAAATGGCACTCTTTTCATGGAATGACCCTCTAACGTGTGAACTGCCCGGTGCTTCAGCGCTTTCATTTTATGAGTCTTCTTTTCCATCTGTCTTTCCCTTTACTGCTCCATCAGTTCAATCAACATCTGTCTGTCCATCTGTAACACCTGCTAATGCCTATAGCACACCACAACCCAACATCAGGCCTTTCATAAGTGAATCTGGTAAAATGAAAAATATATCAACTAACAGCAACCAGTAATGAGGTCAGTGTTTTGTGTGAATGCACTCCTGCATTCTTGATGTCTATGAATGTGCGTATTGGAAATACTAACAATTTTTGCTCATTGTCTTGTTAGCTTTGGAATGGATAGTCTCTAGAACTGTTCTCTAATAATGGCAAAACAACATATTTTGGGTGCATCTAGCAACGTTATGCCAGAATGAACAGGTAGAAATATAGAAGCTTACCTGCTATGTGGTGGATGGTATCATTTAAATTTTCAAGCTTGTTTCTCACTGTTGCTCTTAACATGACACTGGAGAGACTTCCTAAAGTTGACTGGATAATGTAGTTGAGTCTCTTCTATCAGCTTAATAGAAGTTGTTCCAGACACGGCATTCACGTGACTTTGTTCTTAGAGAGGTTCTGTAAAACCATTTAAGGTTTTTAAGTAAATTCTGTTAATTTTGTCAACATTTCTGCATAATTCAGTACGTGAGATGTAAACAGAGTCATTCAGAGTGGTTTGGTGTGAAATGGTTGATTGTAGAGACTCATATTTCTTTACAGTGGTGGTGATGGGAACCAGGGGTCGCCATGACTACAACACAAATATAGACATTTTATTTACTATCCAAAACCACCAGTGAACCTACACGAGTTTTATATGTACACTTCTTTCTTTACTAAAGAAAATGGTGATATATATAGAACCTTTTCATGATTTTAACTTTAATCATGCAAAAGGTTCTTTAACTGTTGACAGTTCTATATAGAGCCATTTTCTTTACTAAAAATCCTTGAAGCACCATCATTTTAGAGCAATAATGTTGATGATCTTAAATAAATTTGCCTATTGTATGTTCTACACAATTGATATAATTTTGCTACAATGGACTGGCGACGTGTCCGGGGTGTTTCCTGCCTTCCGGCCAGTGACCACTGGGATAGGCTCCGGCGCCCCCACTGGGATAGGCTCCAGTGCCTTGCAGTGCTCTGCATGTATCCATCCAACATGAATGACTTTTAAAAATATATATGTTTTAAGCCAAAATCCTATCTCAAAACCAGGTATCATATTCATAACCACTTCAAATGATTTTTTTTTTTAATGGTGTAGCTTTTAGAGGTGTTTTAGAGGCGTTTGGTTCCTATCACCATTGATCATTCTGACTGAGTAAACTTCTCTAAAATGGAGCATTTGATTCTAAATGGCTTTGTTTACATCTGAATAACATAATTATGCACACATTTTGTAAAAATCTGTGGAACTACCCTCTGAGGCTTCATGCCGAATTTAATTGAGTTGTATGAATTTTATTTAGTAATATTTATTCTGGTTAAATGGATCATTTTCATCACAGGTACCAGCTTGACACAAATGACATGTTAGCAATAATACAACAAAAATGTGAACTGGATGACCAGATTGGGAATCACTGGAATTCCCCATAATATTTCAGACTTTCCACCAACTTAATAAAAAAAAATGTATTTTACAACATATGTGTTATCCATTTGAACCTACTGGGCCTAAAAAGCCATCTATGATGAGAGAACAATAGTCGTAGGTGGACTCACTAGCCAAGCACAGTTGCGACTGCAACTCCACACATAACATCAGTTCCCCAAACACGTAGACAGGCAGACACCGCAGAGGAGTCTTTACAGCGTTATGTAATCTGTTCACATTAATAAGTCCTGTAGGTAGTTATAATGAGATGGATGTATGCGTAGTTTATATAACACAACAGCAAAAGTTAGCATAAGGTTTACATTATAAAAAGTCAAAAGAGTCATTTTTTCCTCTATTATTTTGCCTGGCTGCTACGGTGTGCTCTAACCGTAGTGACCGAAGGCTGAAGCTGTAGTCCAGACGCTGTGGTGCGCCAAACTAATCATATCTGATCACTCTGTGATTATAGGGCTGCCAGTTAGTCATATGTCCTGATTAAGTTCTGCTTTCAAATGTGACCAAACATCTAAAGGGTTCCAGCGCAATTTTACAGAGAGTACATTTCTTTTTGCTGACTGCAGAGAAAAAAACTCGCCTAATTTTCCACATGCAACATCAGCTCTCAGGCGCATTCATACATTTCAAGAGATTTCACCTTCTAATGTTTAGATCTTGCACCGTCTTGCTGGTATTGCTGGTCATTCTTCGGGTGCTGGACGCTGTGTTTCAAAGATGAGATGCATACTAGATAACGGTTCTAAAAAAAAAAAAAAAATCTTCTATTGCCTGAACCCTTTAAATGGCCAGGGGCCCAAAGTTTTATTACACATTTCTAAACCCTAACAGGAGCTCAATTAGTTGGCACTGGAGTCCCTGCAGTTACTGAATAATAAAGCTTGGTATGTAATAAGCCTGGGATTTTAAGGGGGTTAAACACTTCTGTGCTTCCATGATGGATATCACCACATGGGCTTTGGAATACTTTGACAAACTGTTGTCAATAAGCACCAATTATCACTGCATCTACAAATTTAAGTTAAATCTGTACTATGCACAGAAGAAGCCATATGTCAACAACATCCAGAAACGCTACCAACTTCTCTGAGCCAGACTCCATGTCGATCTTTCAGACTGTTAAAGAAATAGCAGACATTGTGTTCCATCCCAATTGTTACCAGCATAAAGTTTAAAAATCAGAGTGTGTCGGGATGAAGGGAATTATTAGTGGCCATTACCATTAATGCTGAAAGATATTGGTACATATTTTGGAGCAACATGCTGCCTTCTGCATGTTGTCTTTTCCAGGGACATTCATGCTCATTTAAATGGGTGTCGCTAGGCCAGTTTTAGGGAGTCTTTAGGCCCCCTAAATGTTATTTAGTCCCCCTTAATGTAAAAAGTGGAAGCCCCGGCTCAGCCAATCATATCAGACCTAGGGGTCTCTGGTTTTACTCACTCTGCAAAGTAACCTGAGTTGGCAGCTGCTGAAGCTGTGAGAGGATTTTGGCTAAAAGCTCACTAAAATAAAAAACTAGGCCTTTTCCAAAATCTATATCACATAGAGTAAAACAGTAAATACTTACAGAGTGAACTTGCAAAGTTGACTCGGTTGCTTGTTAGCTAGCTAACTTTGGGTTTACATGCGGTAAAGAAAAAGGTTAGACTAACCCTAACACTAGCTAACTGACAAGCTAACTGGTTTAAGAATTTGAAGAAACTTCCCTTCATAGTGAGGGTGTGAGAGTTTGGACGATCAACGGAGAAAATGTAAGAAAAAAAAATGGCTCCACTCGGTTACAGACTGTAGTCCATCTGTTTCTCTGCATGCTCTGTTAGCCCCCTTTTACCCTGTTCTACAATGGTCAGGACCCCCATGGACCCCCACACAGCAGGTGTTATTTGGGTGGTGGATCATTCTCAGCACTGCAGTAACACTGACGTGTTGGTGGTGTGTTAGTGTGTGTTGTGCTGGTGCAAGTGGATCAGACACAGCAGTGCTGCTGCAGTTTTTAAACACTGTGTCCACTCACTGTCCACTCTATTAGACACTCCTACCTTGTCAGTCCACCTTGTAGATGTAAAGTCAGAGACGATAGCTCATCTGCTGCTGCACAGTTTGTGTTGGTCATCCTCTAGTCCTTCATCAGTGGTCACAGGACGCTGTTGGATGAATATTTTTGGTTGGTGGACTATTCTCAGTCCAGCAGTGACACTGAGGTGTTTAAAAACTCCAGCAGCACTGCTGTGTCTGATCCACTCCGACCAGCACAACACACACTAACACACCACCACCACGTCAGTGTTACTGCAGTGCTGAGAATGATCCACCACCCAAATAGTACCTGCTCTGTGGGGTTCCTGTGGGGGTCCTGACCACTGAAGAACAGGGTAAAAGGGGGCTAACAAAGTATGCAGAGAAACAGATGGACTACAGTCTGTAATTGTAGAACTACAAAGTGCTCCTTTATGGTCAGTGGAGCCGATAAAATGGACAATGTAGAAACAAAGAGGTGTTCCTAAGAAAGTGCTCAGTGAATGTACACTTGATCTACTGGGCGCCAGTTTGACCAAATAGCCATTTTTTATACGTGTACTGGCTGTTACTACTCTAACTGCATGAACAGACATTTTGGGGCCATTAATAATTCTCCTTGCCCCCAGACTCCCCCAGCATAGGCTTCAACATGGCAACACCAAGAAACATTCCACACGCATTACAACAGCATGGCTGCAAAATCAGAGAGTGCTGGAACGGCCAGCCTGCAGTCCAGACCTGTTTCTCATTGAAAACTAGAGGTGCAAATTACAACAACCCATGCAGTTACACATCTGAAGACTTGGATAACAGAAGAATTGCAAAAAAATCAAAACTGGATCAGTTTGTGTCTTCAGTCCCCAAATGACTATTAATTATTATCCAATTAAGAGGGAATGTGATGTAGCACAGTGGTCAGCATGCTCCTGTCCCAACTATTTTGGAACATGTTGCTGGCATCACGACTGGAATAAGTATATATTTAACAATAAATAAATAAAAAAATAAAGTTTATTAGGTGAAACATCTGTTTCCAAAGTAATGCAGGTCAAATAGAATTTAATAACTTTTTTGGAATTGAGTTTTGCATGTGGTTTTGGACGCAGCACTTGCGAAGTCCTGCTATTTTTTGGGTATATTTCTGAGCCCATTTTTCGTTTTTTCTGTTGGGCATTTCGACTCTTTCTTTTTGTGATTTTTTATTTACTTAATATTGAGAATCAGCTCTGCTTGTGCGTTCTTGCCTATTTGCATCGTACGCATATTGACGTCTGCCTGTGGTAATAAGTGTCGGATGCCCCCTAATAGAGATTCTGTGTATCCTATACATGTTTGCAGCTTAGTTTTTGCATATAGACAACACTGTTTACATACAATACCAACCTGTTCTATTAAAAAAAAAAACTACACTGTTAGAAATAAAGGTTCTATGCAGGTACATTTTTCATTCATCAAGGTACAAACAGTGTAAATGTTCCCTCAAAGGTACAACAGTGGTTTTAAGTCTAATTGTGCACCTCAAATACTTTTTTCCAGGTGAAAAGTTTGTATTTATACCAGTTTAGTACCTTAAGAACCTCAACATAATGTAAAGGTTCTACAGCAATCATTACCACTGAGCTAGTAAAACAGGAGTCCACTAGGAGACAGTGGGAAGACTGGAAAAGCGCAGTATTCACCACCTTGAACTTGAAGCCTCCACCTCCTCCTCGCTTTTTCTCTACATTTTTCAGCCTGACATGTCAGTGCAATGCCCTTCCACCCTCCACAGCCATACATGGACAAACGGCTGGATGTGCCCTCTGGCCTGGTTAAACAGAGGGCCCGAAAACGCCTACAGATTCAGAAGAGCAAGGGTTAAACATCTCCAAGCCACCTGTGGCTCTTAAGAGCACGCCGGCTGCAGTGGAGCCCCCCTCCTTTCTCCCATCTCCACGCTACCTCCTACAAGTTCTACCCCAAAAGAGAAGCAGCAGAAGGCTGAAAAAAGTGCTGGGCTGGCAATAAGTAGCCAATGCACGCTCTAAAGGAGACAAACTGACACACATCTCCACAACGCACACACACACACTCTCCTAAACACATATTCACACACCCCCTTTTCCTAGCTCGACCAGCTGTGAGGGGTACAGCCTTGAGGGAATAGCACAAACAACAATACAAATCTAATAAGGCTGTGTCTTCTCATGCATGGACGGGACAGAGAGAGGCTGGGAGAGAGCAGTGTGGACCGGTAGCAGAAGCCTCAAGAAAGGGGGACCAGTCCTGGCCCAGCATCCAGACCCAGCACCTCCACCTGCCCGAGCTCAGCTGAACTCTCAGTCTGGAGGAACCAGGTGATGCAATTAAATTCATTATTTCTCCATTTTCAATGCACTTTTCTGCTGTTCTGTATTGATTGTGATGGCTTGGAGGAAGTGGGTGGGTTTTTTTTGAGGACTGGCTCAAATTCCGCTTAATGAAGATCCTTGGAAGTACCTGTGAAGGTGCTTAAAAGGGTCCTTTGGTGTCACGCTATGGTAGAACCACTTTTGTTTTCATCTCAGTAGATGGTTCCTCAGAGAACTACATTTGAAAATGAGATGCATGAGCAAGAGGAACCTTTTTAGAAGCTCCACAAGATGTACCAATTAAGGCTTGTTTTCTAGAAGTGCATGTCCAAGCCAAGAACCTCCTAAGAACCTTTGTTTTTGAGAGTATTAGAGAGATGCAACTTTGGTTTTATCCTCTCAAATTGCAGATTTAGTCTTCTCAAATTGTAAATAGAGAAATATTGAGAGGGTTGGGGTTGAGGTTGAATTAGAGTGAGTACATTGGGCTAATAATAACCTAAATGCATAGCATCATTTATTATAATCAGCGATTTTACATGCTCGGCAGTGTAATCTAGTGTTGTAATTAGGTATATTGGAAGTGGGGAAGTTTGCATTGTAAACATGTTGCAAGTCCTTTGTGTAAGACAACCTTGCTGTTACAATTAGAGTCAGTTGAGTTCAGAGAAGAAGCTGAAGTTGTTCTCCAAGCTGGGCTTCCTTAGTGAAAGTGAGGGGAAGAGGGCAGAGAAAACTTGGATTTGACCACAGCTGTTGAACAGAACTGAACCCAAAAGCTGAGCTAGCACAGAACCACATGTTATTAGCATAACTGGCCAAGACACAAAGCCCCGTCCAGGAAATGAATCTGATAGGGTTTTTGGGGCATGTGGTTTTTTTTTTAGATGGTACATGCAAAAGCCAGCCTTTTGTCACTGCCATGTGGAAAATCTGAAAACATTCTGAGTCAGCACTTTTCTCCAAGCCTTCAGCCTTTTAGCATTTTAGCTTAGATGTGTGTCGAACTAAACGTTTCACTGCAAGTCTGCGGTGTTAATCCTGAGGTTAAGTTGCATTTGCCTCTTTTCATAATCACGTTCCCCGCTGATGAGGAAATGCTGGGTTGTTACAGCATCTGCATCCACTTTCTGGAGGTTTATGGGGTGTTTAACAAAGATTCTTACAAATTTCCAGCATGCGCACTGAGCGTTTGGTAAGCACCAAGGAGCTGATACCCATGATGCAAAGACATCTGTGCATGAGAGCGTTACTCCAAACAGATGTGGATTCCATTGTGGAGGCCTATCCAACCACGCCTTTCTGAAGTTTGCGGTGTCTGAGTCAGTTCAACACAGAATCTCTCTCATAATGCAAGGCTTGCATAAAAATCTGCAGCGTTACAATAATCTACAATGTTATATATGATTATAATGTAGCCACAAATAAGACAAATATCACTGAGCACAAATGGAATATTATAGCAATAATAATTGAGTGTCAATCATTCTTGCTGTTTCTTAGCAAAAAATCTTATATACACACTTAAAAAAGATGGTTCTTCAAGGGTTCCTTAGTAAAGAAAATGGTTCTGTATTGAACCATGAACACTAGAGAACCCTTTGCATGATTAAAGGGTTCTTTGCATTGTGAAAAGGTTCTTAGGATTGATAAAGAATGTGTTGTATATGGTTCTATATAGATCATTTTTGAAAAGGGTTCTATTTAGCACCAAGATGGGTTCTTCTATTGTTACAAGCTTGACATCATAGCAAGAGAACCATACATAAGAAATTCTCTATCAGTATAAAGAACCATTTTACCATGCAAAGAACGCTTTCATCATGCCGAAGGTTGTTTAAGTGTTTACTGAAGCTTTTTTTAAGAGTGTACAGTACTTGTAACCATAGTGGAACCCTTTTTGGTTCTAACCAGATCTTTAAAGACATACGATAGTTTTTTGATTTGTTTTGTTTAGTTTTTTTTTTCAAATATATTAAAATGAGCAAATAGACAGTAATTGTGTGTTATTTTCCTTAGAAAATCAACAAATTGTCATTTGAGTTGTTTAAAACTATGAATATCTGTGCTTGTGTTGTGGTATGTACTCTTAAAAAAGATGGTTCTTCAAGAGTTCTTTAGTAAAGACAAGGGTGCTATGTAGAACCATGAGTACTTAAAGAAACTTTTGCATGTTTAGTGTTCTGTGCATGGTTGCATATAGCCCCGAAAGTGTTCCTCTGTTCTTACAAACTTGACATTGTATCAATAGAAGAGCCCTTTTTGGTGCTGTACAGAACCTTCACATTCAATAACACATTCTCCATCAATGTGAAGAACCATTTCATGCTTGCTACAACCTTTTAAGCATTTAGGCATACAAATGGTTCTTTGAGTGTTTGTGGTTCTATATAGAACCAATGTCTTTACAAAACAACACTTGAATAACAATCTTCTTTAAAAGTGTGCAGTATTTGTGAACATCAAAGACACACTGACCAATCAGAAAAGGACATTTCAGCCAACTATATGGGTTGAGGTTGCACTATCAGCAAAGATTTGAAGAAATGCGAGAGAACCGTGTTTCAGAAAGTGAAAATTAGATTAGCTCCTCCTCTTTTCGGGTATTTCTTGCTCCAAAATCAGTAAAACTATGACAGAAAGTGCAGAACCTCCATTAGAGTGAAAACCTGTTTTCTTTACAAGGGCTTAATAACTTCTCGCTGTAAGCTGGACGCTCTATGTCGGCCCCCAAGACACAAACAGAGTTTGTATGCGTCCGTGTTCCTTTAGACTTCCTGTGAATTAAGGGTTTTAGATCGCTCTGTAGGATTAAGAGGCTGTTTACACCATTACAATGGTTACACCATCCGCCGACTCTATTGTCAAGCAGAACCATCGTAGACAGTAGATGCTGGATAATGGTTTTAGATCATGGGTAATCATGGATTAGGATCCTCCTGAGGCCCTGAGAAGCTGGTTATATGGGATTAACAAGGCATCGCGCTTAAAAGGAAATGAGAACAGTCCAATGACAAAATTAGATTTGTACAGAGCTGTCCGTCACACCGGCCCGTCATAGGTCAGAGCGATCCCATCGCACTAAAGACTGATGTGAGGAAACCGGCTATGATGAACCCTTTTAAAGATTAAAGGTTCCTAAATGGCTCTTGGATTTATGGCTGTAAGAAAAACAGGTAACGTTTGACTTAACTTAACAGAACGTTGACCTAACCATGCAATAAACCTTTCATGGGAGATGCCATATGCTGAGTTTTCATGAAAGGTTTTGTCCAGTCATATGTCCAACCCCAGCGGAATAATGGTCAATTTGAGAACGCAAGGTTTATTGCCTTCGGTGTCATGAATTTTAAGATTAAGATGAAGATTAAGATCAAGTGATTAGTCCCACAATGGGGAAATTTCACCTCCACATTTAACCCACTAGTGAAGACACACACTAGGGGGCAGTGAGCACACTTGCCCGGAGCGGTGGGTAACCCTATCCACAGCGCCCAGGGAGCAGTTGGGGGTTAGGCGCCTTGCTCTGGGGCACCTCAGTTTACCATAAGAGCTGGTTTAAAACAACAAATAAAAAGGGGAGTTTGTAACCATTAGTTCGCACAATCATACTAAAGGTGATGTTTTGACAAAGCATGTCTCCCATCTTGAAATCATTCACCACACAAGCTAAACGTTCCATTTGTGAAACACTATTACAAAGAGTTCAGTCTCCTAAATGCCATAATACCACTCAGTGCTACTTAAAGCCATAAAACGCAATATCCTTAACAATCTCTAACAATTCACAGACTGAACAAAGAAACAGAAAACAACCGCTTGACCTTTGAATATTTAAAAATGATGATAATGAAAACAATAAGGCTGAAAATTTGTGGGAGAGTAGGCTTACGTTGCACGGATCACATAAGCACAGTATATGCAAACTCACTTTGCGAGTGTTCTACAAACTCTATGAATTACTAAAATTAAATTCTACTTCAAGTTATCAGATTACCTTGTTCACCTTCCAGGTTTGCAAAGCTTTCAGTGAGAACATGTCAGTAAGTGGAGTGCGTCTCCATTAACTGTGTTTTTCCTCCAGTTTCTTTGCACATGCAATTCAATGAGACAGCAAACAACAGCACTCATAAAATAAAAGCCAGTGCATTTTTACGTGTATACTCAAAAAAAAAAAAGCTGAGAAATGAATGAACAGTTAAAAAATAGGAAAATGCCTCTTTTTCAGGGTCATTTACATCGACCCCAATAATCTCCCAAAATGTCTTAAAAACCTATTTTTAATACAGTGTTGCTGCAAAATTAAAGAAAATCTGATTAAATACCTTTTTACGCTAATAACCCTTAATAAAAGCAGTAAGTATTAGATTTTTACTATTTATTTGCCGTTATTACTATTTTTACTGTCATTTCATTGAGGCCATTAACTGTGATTTTTATCAACTTTATTATAATAACTTTATCAAATTTATAATAATAATACAATAAAAAACATATGTCTATTACTAGACCTCAAGAAAAATGGATTTTTTTTATTATTTTAAATATTTTATTACTTTGATAATTATAATTTTACAATTTGTGATACCTGTCTTGACAGTAATATTAATATGACATTTATAATACAGGACTTAAACTGTCAAGACATGTTATGACATGGTTATGTCAACAGCATGAATACAGGTTCCACTTTCTTCATACTCTTCATACAGTTGACAGTATGTCCATAAAATCCTGGCACCTTTATTTTTAAGAATGTACTGTAGGTCCAGTTGCAGGTGAAAATGTGATGTCCTGTTTATGTCTTGTTTGTTTGTTATGTCCTCTTTGGTCATTGACTGGGATAGAATGGGGTCACAGAGTCTGCCCTGAGATCCCTCCGGTGTCCCCTACTGTGTGACGGAGACACATGTTTGCGCAGGAGATGAAAACAAGAAGCAGGTGGCAATGTAAGGGTAAAGAGGAGGATGAAGGGTGTGGTAGACTGTGGAGGCGCATGGCCTCATTATAACTGGGCCACAGCCCAAGTCCTCTGGTGCCACTCTGACACCCCGGCTTAGACACAATCCTGCATCACGGGATTATGACCCTTGATCTCGGGAGGCTATGATTGGCTGAGAAGGTGTCTAGTGTGTGTGTCTGTAGAGGGATCATTCAGGGCTACCAACACTACAAATACGAGCAGAGCTGAATACAGGAGCTCAGTGCTGGACCATCATTGCAAATACCAAGGCTTGAAGAGAACCTGAAGAGGTCAAAGGTAGGGCTGGAATTTGTGCATTGGTAAACAGGTTAGATACAGTGTGGATGGGAGATTTCTGTACTCCTGGATGCAGACCTGAGGCACTTTGGATTAGTATAATTCATACTTAGGCCTTTTAAAGGCATGATTTCAGTCTTTGTTTAAATGCCTATTTCCACCTTAATGTTTTGCTGTAGGTGCAGCCTTTAGAGCAGTTAATCTGCAGGGATTTAATGAGGGGTATTCAGTTATCAGTCCACTTATTACAGTGGATCCACGTTCTCCAGAGTCCAAACTCTCTGCTGACTGACAGCGAGACAGCAGGTCAGTTTGGAGCTGACTCTAGCAGGGTCTTGAGGCAGGTGGAGCTGGGTCATCATTACCAGGTGTCCAGATTCTCTCTTTGATCTCTTATGGCTCATGGAGAATCTGAACCAGTGAGAATGAGCTCCATACGTGGGCTAGAGGTATGATCGAAGTACGTAAAGCATTGCCAGATGACAGAACTGTGGAAGGGTGGATGTGCAAATGTGTACAGTCGCATGCAAGAGTTGACTTTTGGTCAAAGTACATGTTTTCCTAAAAGAATGTAAGTTAACTTAAAAATGGCATTTTTCTGCACAGTTTCTGTTTATGTTTTACACATTTTATGTTTTATTTTCTTTTCCTGCTAGGTTATCCCCTTAAATGGCCAGGGCCCAAAGTTTTATTACATACTTCTATAACCTAAGACTAGCTCAGCCAGTTTGCATTGAAGTCCCTGTAGTTACTGAACAATAAGCCTTAGTATGTAACAAGACTGGGATTGTAAGGGGGTAAATTCAGCAAATAAACAATTAATATGCAATACAATATGCCATTTGTTTCCTGTACAGGATGTGCAATTATTTTCACTTAGGAAAATCAACAAAAACATGTCATTTGCCCAGGGCGCCAAAACTTTTGCACACGGCTGTTTGTTGATATCTTGAAAATAATGCCTTGATTTGTTGAATTGCCTGCTTTTTTAAACATGTAAATGCCTTTTTAGTCTTGTATTTGACCCTTTCCACATAACACAAAGTGAACATATATGCATGCAAAGAAAACAAAGGCTTAGCAGATGGATAGAATATTTGTATTCGTTTAAAAAGTGGACCCAGTGGTGACTCCATTGTATCAGATGGGCATGCATTGAAACAATTAGTCACAGATATACACATGTGCACTGTGTGAAACCTGGATCCATTCCAGCGTCCCTCCAAAAAGGTGAGAATAAGTCTCAGGTTTGTAGACTTGAGATTTCTTTGCACTTGATAGCCTGAGACTCAATTCTGGACCTGAACTGTAGCAATTGTAGCTTTCATATCCCTATTTCAAGTAGACACAGTCCTTCATTGTAAAGAAGTGTCTGAAGAAGTGCCTTTGAACATATCCTTCAAGCTACAAAAGCAGTGACTGTAGTCAGATTATTAAGTAAGTTTCTACTGTATGCAGGGCCTGAAGGGAAATCAGGTGTCACCTGTAGCTGCTACATGACTCCCATAGTTACAGTTTAGATTAATGATGCTTTCATGAATTTGGTTGTTTCCAGAACTTCATTATGACTTGCACCATGTTGACATCATGGTTTCAATGTGCTTGATTATTTGGATAGACGAATCTGGCGTAGAGTTTCTTGGAGCTTTGTTTGTTGTCTGGCTCGACGTGCTACTCCATAAACTGTGACTGTACTTGTTTGACTTGCTGGTGAGATTTGCTGCCAGCTCTGATGTCACCACTGTATGAATGGAAGGGATCATCATGATGTCATTGTTAATGCAGTTGAAGTTGACCTGGCGATGTATCCTGCATCAAAGAGGATTAGCTCATTGCAGGAAGCTGGAAGAACATTAAGGGATCAATTATTCTTCAGTGAGTTTGTACAGGGTCACTACATGCCTGTTTTTTTGCATGCATTGAAATCAATAGAGATTTGCTGGGACAAGCAGTTTCCCAAGCACAGATTAAGCCCAGTTTCTAAACAAATACATGGATATTCAATGGATGATCCTCATTTGTAGTATAAGTTAATCTAGGACTGTCCAAGCCTGAGAAAACAGTGCCTAGAGACCTTAAATAATGTGTGGCTCTTCATGTTTCAACAGACTGAGCTTCAACATGGAGATGTTCTTCACTACATTGGCAGTCCTGTTGCTAGCAGTCTCAGTGAGCTCTCAGGAAATGCCTTACGAACACATGCTGTCCCAGCTGCAGGCATGTCCCAAAGAGTGCCGCTGTCCTCCAAACTTTCCCAACGCCGTCTACTGTGACAACCGGAGTCTGAAACGCATCCCCGAGATCCCTCCTTTCACCTGGTACTTGTACCTGCAGAACAACCTCATTGAGGTGCTTTCCACTGATGCCCTCCGTAACGCCACGCAACTGAAGTGGATCAACCTCAACCGCAACAAGATCTCAAACGAGGGTGTCGAGGAGGACGCCCTCAAAGCCATGACCAGTCTGGTGCACCTCTACATGGATGACAACCTGCTGACTTCTGTACCCTCTCCTCTCCCACCAAAGCTGGAACAGCTGCGCCTCTCCAGGAACAAGATCTCAAAGATCCCAGCTGGTGTCTTCTCTGGGATGAACCGTCTCACCCTGCTGGACCTTCAGGGGAACAAACTACAGGATGATGCAGTGACTGAAGTCAGCCTTAAAGGCCTGAGTAATCTGGTTCAGATCAACCTGGCAAAGAACCAGCTGAACAACATGCCTCCTGGTCTGCCCCCGACCACCGCACAGCTCTACCTGGATGGCAACAACATTGAGAAGATCCCTGATGAATATTTCAAAGGGCTCCCCAAAATTGCTTTCCTAAGGCTTAATCGCAACAAGCTAGCCAATGGAGGGTTCCAAAGGAATGTGTTCAACATCTCCAGCATGCTGGACCTGCAGCTTTCCTACAACCAGATTACAGAGGTTCCATTTATTCCTTCCAGCCTTGAGCATCTTCACCTGGACCACAACAACATCAAGAGTAAGTGTACATCAACATGTCCCTCATGTGTCTGTTGCTCAAATGAATTGTGGACAAGGTACTTTTGAAACATTCTTTAATGCCACCATTTGGACAATCAACCCTGCAACCGTAATCACGGCATTCCAGATTATTGCAAAAAGATAAGGCAATTAGCTTTTGAACCCTTTCATTCAAAGTCTTGTTCTTGTGCACTAAACTATAATCCCTAGTCTTGAAGAATGATCAAATTAATTGATATTGACATACCCTTTGTTGCAAGACAGTCATTTGCAGTACCTTATAGAACACTGTTGAAAAGCTTCCCAAAAGGGTTCCCCAACAGTAGTGTCTACAATCTTATCCATGAAGGGTCGGTGTGGCTGCAGGTCATTCCAACTTAGCTGGAGCACACCTGATTCCACTTGTTTAATCTGTTCCTCTCAGTCTTCAAGCAGTTGATTAGTTCTACGAGGTGCTCCTGCTTGGTTGGAAAACCTGCAGCCACATTTATGTGGATTTGATTGGTAACCTTCATCTTATAGGAACAATATAAAGTAAAGAATTAGTTCTACTAGGAGTGGAACATCACAAGTACTCCTATTTTCTCTTTTTATTAGAGGATACTTGCAAAAGGTTGGTGTGGTTGGTATAGTGTAGTGGGTAACACCTCTGCCTTCTATGCTGTAGACTAGGGTTCAATCCCGGCCTGGGTAAGCACCCTACATTATACCAATAAGAGTCCTTGGGCAAGACTCCTAACACTACCTTCACCTACCTGTGTAAAATGATCAAATTGTAAGTCGCTCTGGATAAGAGCATCTGCCAAAATGCTGTAAATGTAAAAAGAAAGCAAAATTAATCTAAGCTAACTAAAATGTGTCTTCCCTGTCTTGTCTACAGGCGTGAATGGCTCCGAAGTGTGCCCAGTGTCTAGCGCCATGCTCGACGACTACTTTGAAGAGAGAGGTCCTCGACTCCGCTACCTCCGTCTTGATGGCAACGAAATCAAGCCCCCCATCTCCAGAGAGCTGATGGTCTGCTTCCGTCTTCTCAGGGCTGTAGTCATATAAATCTAGAGCTTCACTACGATTTAATTGTCCCAAAGCAACCAGAAATGCGAATACATAACACAACACAAAAGGTCCAGAGCAATTTACTTCAAATATTCTGAAGAAATAAAATAGTGAACACATAATAGTGAACGATTTCCAGTAAAAGCCAACTTGTGATGCCGAGGATCAGATTCTCTCGATATTGTTTGCACTTGTACACAGTAGAAAGACAAGCCGAGGTTGTTCAGAGATGCATTTTGTAGACAGTTTCCAATGTGACTTCACTGTAAAACCGCTGTGCCTTCTTTTATTCCTCTTAGATCAAAGTTGAGTACAAGAGAAACTGCATTGTCTATGTAGTTACTGCACTCTTAAAAATAAAGGCACCAAAAAGGGCTCTTTGTGTGATGCACTTTTGGTTCCGTATAAACTTTTCAATGGATAGAGAACTCTTTTACTAAATGAGAGAAAAGTTTAAAGAACCTCTACATACTGTAACTAAAGGTTCTAGTACCTTAAACTGGTACAGGTTCTTTAAACCTTTAACATTCTCTTCATACTTGCAAGTCTTTTTTTATTTTTAAAATATGGCTCCATGAGGAAATCAAAGGTGGTTCTTCTATGCACATTTAAAAAGATGGTTCTTCAAGGGTTCTTTAGTAAAGACAATATAGAACCAAGAAAACTTAAAGAATAGTTTGTATGCGTAAAGTGTTCTGTACATGGAGAAATGGTTCTTCAGATTGATGGAGAATGTGTTGTATATGGTTCCTTACAGATTTTTTTTAAAAGGTTCTGTATAGCACCAAAAAGGGTTGTGCTATTATGACGATGTCAAGCTGACAACATTACAAGAACTCTTTTTGGTACTATATAGAACCATATATAACACATATTGTCCATCAATCTGAAGACTAATTTTTTGCTAAAGAACTTTCTTGAGTCTTTACTAAAGAACCCTTGAAGAACCATCTTTTTTAAGAGTGTGGATTTGCTCGAAGAACCCTTTTTGGCTCCTTTTTTTAAGAATGTGAATATTCTGAAGACAGTGATTCTCATATTCACTTAAAGCTGAACTATGTAAGTTTTGGAAGCATCAGATTCATCCCCTTGGGGAAGGGGTCCAAAGCGCAACCCATGTTACCAAATGTTCTTCTGCACGCTGTGTGCAGTTACACTTCTTCACCAGAGAGGTCTCCAAATCCCTAAAACTTACATAGTGTAGCTTTTTTTACCAGCATTATTTATTTTCCATTTATTGGTAAAGGCAGGTGATCAGATTGCAATCAAATCATCTCAGCACACTTTGCTGTATCCCCTTCTATTATATAGTAAGTTAAATTACATAACGCTACTGTGTTGGACAGTGATTCTTTTGTTATGGAGCCAAGAATATGCTGAAAATCATGTACATTTTTATGTAGTAGGTGTTATAAGTATGATTGCCGTACATTGTAGTTAAAGCTGGACGACTTACTGTCACAACACTGCTGTGGCATCATGAGTAGTTTGCGAATAGACAAAGAAAAACAAGCATTCAGTTTTCTAGGCTGATCTAGTCTTTCATTTAATCAGTGGTGGAATTGGTCAGAGCCCTGCTGCCCGTTTTTTAATGAGTATGCAAGCGAGGTGGCGGAGATATTGATGAAAAGTGAGTTGGGTCCAATTCCACAAGTTCATATAACATGCATTGTTGCACGTTTTGGTAGCCAAACCACGACTTTTAATGGCTTTCTTTTTTAAACTTGTGAAGTTATTTTTACAGTGTGCTGTATTCTTGCATTCAGGAGAATTTATTTTTATTTCATTCCCTTTGTATGTCACATCTCGCAGTTCATGTTAGTGACCATTTTTCATGATGTATTCTATTGATGTCAGGAGAAGTCTACGCTGCATAGCATTTTATGCTAAGAAAATGTTTAAGAAATACATGAAAAAGAAGCCACAGTTTATGAGTTTATGAATGCTGTGGACCACAGAGACAAGAGGTTACAGAATTATAAAAGGTGCTTCCCAAAAACGTTGCTGTGTTTTCAAATTAGTAATGTGCTCATAACTGTAATTATAACATTTCATTAATAAATACCTGTGTGAATGTTCACTTACTGCACAAATGGAATAACAGTCCTCAATTTTTTGTTGTTTTTACACTGCATATCTACTAGTGAAAAAGCAATGTGACAAAATCCTAATGTATCTTTTATTTTATGAACTATTCAGAGTGTATTACATAGTAATAAGTACTAAAATTGGATTTTGGATGTTCTTCAGACTTGATTAAATGACTCTCTGATTCAGCATTCACTTGTGAGGCAACCTCATTTTTAAATGCATACTGTAGAACTTTTTTGGCTTCAACATTTCATATATTTTCCATATTTACATCACTAGCAAGGCCAGTGATATGAGGATGAAGGCTGATACATGCCTTCCTCCAAAGACCATGAAGTCAGCCATCACCACATCTCTACACAGCTCAACATTCTTGAGGAAACCACTAATTGCTAACCGCTCTGCTCTGTCTATGTAACCCAGCAGATGCCCAGATATGCTAGCATATCACTGTATCAGTGGGCTGAGAGGAACCTATTTGGAAGGTAGAAATACTTCTCTCATGACATCTCTCATGGTATTATTGGAAAGTGAACCCAATTTTCAGCAACTCTTACAGCATTAGTGTCCAGTCCCAGTTTAGTGTACCCCCAGTTAGTGTAGATATTTATTTTTCTGTAATCCTAAATAACCTATTCAACTCATCAGCTAACTATCAAGTCTACTTTAAGCCACATGTGAGCAAGAAAATGTGAAACTTTACAGGACTGGCATTGAGAACCTGGGCCCAGTTTTCCAAAATCATCTTGACCCCTTTTATATCTGATCACTGAGCATGTCTTGAGTATCAGGCTTATGTCTGGATGAGGCTGAGCCACATTTAAACAGATATAAATCTGATCACTCAAACCACTTCAGGAGGTGATATGAGACACATTTGAGCCATGTTATAGCAGTGTACACACAAATGTCTCTCCAAGACAGTTTTGACAACCAAAACCCCTCCCAGTACAATCAAAACCCCTCCCAATACAGCTGAAACTCCTCCCAGTACAATAAAAACCCCTTCCAGCACAGTAAAAACCCCTTCCAGTACAACCAAAACCCTCCCAGTACAATAAACACCCATCACAGTACAATAAAAACTCCTCTCAGTACAACCAAAATACCTACCAGTACAACCAACACTCCTCCTAGTACAACCAAAACCCCTCCCAGTACAATCAACACTCCTCCTAGTACAACCAAACCCCCCAGTACAACCAACACTCCTCCTAGTACAACCAAACCCCCCAGTACAACCAACACTCCTCCTAGTTCAACCAACACTCCTCCAGTACAACCAACACTCCTCCTAGTTCAACCAAACCCTCCAGTACAACCAACACTCCTCCTAGTACAACCAACACTCCTCCAGTACAACCAACACTCCTCCTAGTTCAACCAAACCCCCCAGTACAACCAACACTCCTCCTAGTACAACCAAACCCCCCAGTACAACCAACACTCCTCCTAGTTCAACCAACACTCCTCCTAGTTCAACCAAACCCCCCAGTACAACCAACACTCCTTCTAGTTCAACCAAACCCCCCAGTACAACCAACACTCCTCCTAGTTCAACCAACACTCCTCCAGTACAACCAACACTCCTCCTAGTTCAACCAACACTCCTCCAGTACAACCAACACTCCTCCTAGTACAACCAAACCTCCCAGTACAACCAACACTCCTCCTAGTTCAACCAAACCCCCCAGTACAACCAACACTCCTCCTAGTTCAACCAAACCCCCCAGTACAACCAACACTCCTCCTAGTTCAACCAAACCCCCCAGTACAACCAACACTCCTCCTAGGACAACCAAACCCCCCAGTACAACCAACACTCCTCCTAGGACAACCAAACCCCCCAGTACAACCAACACTCCTCCTAGTACAACCAAACCCCCCAGTACAACCAACACTCCTCCTAGTACATACCGACATGTTTAAAATGCAAAAAAAAACATGTTAAAAACACAAAACAGATATGGGGGTTGTTATGTTAGTATCTGCCTCATGCCCATAGACCAGCAATCAAACAATGAAATTTAAAAGAAACATTAAATCACATTAGAATACTTTGGCCCTACGAGGCCTTGACAAAAGCAATATCATTTGACCAGTTCTGAATTATGGCAGCCTTCACCTTGTGAAATCCACCTGTAGCCCTTTCCAAAATAAGAATATCCAAAAAAGAAGCAATGCCACGAGGAAGACAGCTGAATATCTGGCACAAACCAACCTTTCAACATAGACTCTCAGAAGCTGTTAACGCTGCAATTAAAACTCTTATTTGCTGTGAATTAAGAGTTACATTAGAATCATCACCTAGTGAAAGCAAACCTGGACATAAAGGAATGTCAACATTTCGGAAAACAGACAACGTTTGTACCACATAGCTCCAAAAAGACATAATGTATGGGCACTGCCAGAATATATGAATATAATCCCCAACAGAGCCTGAATTACATCTATTACAACTTTTTCCACTGGACAGTTTCATCAGAAAGGCACAGCATGGCGTTACATAGATCCTGTGAACTAACTTGAAATGTATTAATTGATGAGACAAATTTTGATGTTAGATCAAAACCGTGTAATTATTTTTTGTTTTTATACCAACTGCTCTTTACGTTGTGTGAAAACATCATGACAAACGGACCAATATAAATAATTCAATATTAATTGTGAAAGAAATCGTGTCTCATTAACTTCTATTAGCAAGAAAGAACATCCTTTCCTTCCCCTAAAAAACTTTCCACTGTGTTCCAGCGACATTTTACTACAGTAGTTCTCAATTTGGTATTTATTTCTTACAACAAATGGTGATAATACTTGCCGTTCCAAGCACACTTTAAACAACAGCTTCTCAAAACTGAAAAGGCTGGTGCTATCCTCAGACAACATGAGAAGCAAAATTCCTAGAGGGTAGAGGGGAGAACCAGAGCAGTGGTTCTCCAGCCAGTCCTCAGGACCTCACAGATAGTTCACATTTTTGCACTATTCAAGCGCCCAGCTCTCCTGAACACAGCCATTAAGAACACTGAATACCTGGTACAGGTGTGTTGGAGCTGGGTTACAGCAAAAATGTGGAGCGGCTTGAGTGCCCTGAGGACTCAAGAATCACTGAACTAGAGGACATGAAGTTTAACCCTTGTGTGGTGTTGATGTGTTTGTTACTCAGTGGTCTGGTGGTCCCACCACATTATTGTTTTCTAAATCAATACAGCCATAACAATTTATGTAAAAATACCAGATGTTTAAAATATCACAAGTGTCCAGCGTAGGGTTCTCCTTTAGCAGCTGTAGCCAGTCAGCAGCCTGTCCATGTTGTCCTCCCTCACACACACACACACACACACACACACTAACAACAGCAGGCCATGTAGGTGGAGAACAGAGTGAAGGACACAGCACCTCCACACTTTTACTCCCTGCGGGTTCACCCAACACCACGTGTGTAATATAAATGTGTGGGGGGTGAACAGAGTGAAGACACTGAAAATGGGTTATTTTATATGTTCTTCACAGAAAATGAGCAAAAGGATGAAATAACAATAAATCACATCATTTTTTCTTTTGGTAAACACTGAAAATGGGTCCCACAGACCTGAACACCACACAAGGTTTAAAACCTCCTCAAAATAAAAAAAATCAGCAAAATAGAACAGTTCAAGCAAATAAATGAACAAACTTTAATTCTATGAGCTGTTATTAACAGTAATATGCTTACATTTAGAAATGTTTGACACTTTTACCTTGGAGACCATATGGAAGAAAATACATGTAAATGCACTTGCTCAGCTAAAAAAATATGTGCAAGTTTTAAAACATATGTGCTAAATGTATTTACATATACTATTTTTGAATATTAGAGTAAATGCCAATATTTGCACATACATGTTAATATAGTGAAATATATGCACATGTGTAGATGAAATATATGTAACAGTTTCAGGTTATAATGACCTACATCTAAAAACAGCTACAATACTGAAATATATTTCCTTTGCATAGAGAAATGGTTCAGCAAAAAATCAAATGTACACAATTTTCCACTTAATCCAGCTGTAGTCGATCAGCCGAGACATGTTTGATGTCCAAATTTTGCTTCTTTAGTTCAGCACAGGAGCTACACGTACAATATTGTTAACAGACACTAGAAGTCAATAGTCACCCAAACCTTTTCCGTGAATATATCCTTAAAAACTTCTCTCAACCTGCTCAAACCACTTCCAGCTCTTCATTAAGGCTGCATGGACTTGTTGATGTGGGTTAGAGCACAACATGGCTTACTGTGACCTATAAAAACAAACAAAACTTCACTTGCAGCTGAACACAGTCTCCCCAAACAGCATATATCTTTACTGTGACATATATACACAGGTTTTGTTTATTTTTATAGCTCACAGTAAGTCATACTGTGTCCTAAACCACATTAACAAATGTGTACAAACTTAATGAATGACCTGGATCCAAATTTGTGGGTGCTTTTACAATCTGGGAGACACTCATCCCCAGCCCCCCTCTTTTTCATCCAGTTTTATCCCCTATAGTTTTATCCCCTATATAATGTTATAATATATAATGTGTAATATATTTCTATACAACATATATACATATATATATATAAAAAACACAGAACAGCATAAAACATTTTAACACTACTGTTAGATTTTTCTGAGCTTTTAAACTCAAGTGAATCCAGCTCAGCCAATGAGCTGCTCCGCTCGCCAGTCAATCATCACTCTCTAGCAGTAATGCCCGCCTCCTGCTGCCTAAAACCAGTTTGCTGTAGAAAAAGGAAACATACAGGTGAGTTTTTTTTGTTTTTTAGCGAAATTCATCCTTCTACTTTCTAAAATTAAAGGAAAGTTTTAACTTTTCATTTTTATTCTTGAGCGCCATTTACTCTCGTTCATTTAGGACTCACTTGTGGGCGCCCTCTGCTGTTTGGCAGTCATGTTTTTGATATAACGGGGAGAATAGAAAGTGGCCAGGCTCCACATAAACCGGCTCTGGCTAGGTCTCCCCATCACATGATACTCCCAGCGATAGGAGGGTGAAGGCTATCACATGCCTACTCTGAGTCACTTGCAGCCAGGCACTGCATCGTCTTGAACTGAGGCTAGGACATCATCATCAGAGCTCAACACGCTTGGAGGAGAACACTAACTGCCAATTCTGTTATATCAGCTAACACTGGCTAGCATCACGCTGAGTGATGAGGGGAGAGGAAAGAACACCCTGCCCACCCAGAGAGAGGGGACAGTTATGATGTCTTGTACTCCTGGCCTCAGATGGCTGTGGCATCACAGGTGATCGAACATGCCATCACATGATGACAGGAGCCCACTTTCAATTCTGACACGAATCCCTCCAGCTCTGACACTCATGAAGACTCCATTTCCCAGAACCCAGAACAGATGAACCTCCACAATCCACCAATCATCGTTCCAGTTCACCTGAGTACTATCCTGTGTCACCTGTTATGTGTATCATATGACTAGATCTAGCTTAGTATTTCAGCCTGGGCTTTAGTATAGGTTCTTTGTGAGTTAATGCTCCTGTCTGTAAAGCTACTGAATGTTTCTGTCTGTTATATTGCCTTTGTGTTTTTCTAATCATGTTTTTGGACTTCCTGACTTTGTCTTTTTGTCTTTGCTCTTTCAGATCCAGTTGCCTGATATTGTTTGTTATGTTTGTCATTCTCTGTATTTTGACCTTTTTGGATTTGACCACCGCCTGTCAACTGACTGCGAGCCAACTGAAAAACCCTTTACAAGTAAAGCCTCATTTCTTGTTTATTTTTTATTGCGAGCGTCTGGCTGGTTTTGTCCTGTTACAAATTCGAACCCTGTGCCGGTTTGCAGTACTAGCTCCAGCTCTAAACTAAAGAAGCAAAATTTGGACACAAGACATGTCTTGGCTGATCTACATCTGGGGTGAGTGGAAAATTACTTCTTGATCTTTCACCTTTAAGAAACTTTCAGTGGATGTTGTTTTTATTTTTAAAAGAGACCTGTTTGCAAATTAATGTGTGAGTGTGAAGGACGTTTTCTCATTTAAAGAACCTTCTACCAGGCCCGCCGGCCCTGTACACACTCAAATGAAGGACCGTTTGAGACATTAGCAGAGGGAAGTGAGCCTTCTGTGGACTCCTTCCTGCTGAATAATACACTTTTCTATATCTAGAAAGGGCTACGTTATGTATTTTAAAGATAGAGCTCTTTGCAAACGGGCATACGAGTGTGAAGAACCTTCTACATAATATACAGGCATCCATCTAAGCCAAGGCCCATTGAGTAACCTTTGTTCTTGAGAGTCCAGTACACTAGATAATGTAATAGAGAGTATAATACTGGGGTTAATGGAGAAATGAGCTCTACAAAGAGACAGATTATGTGGGATCAAATTCAGAGGCAGAAAAATAATCACCCAGAGAAAGAGAAACAGAGAGAGAGAGAGAGGTCTTGACCTGTAAAACAAACGAGGAGGAAGCTGACACACGAGAGCTTGTAAGATATTTCCTGGCAGAGAGGTTGCGTTTAGATTCTGTAGAGCGTTGCATCTCTTGGCGGAGGGACGGAGCAGCAGTGGGCTCAGTGTTAGCGATTAGCTCTCCGTGCTGGCGCAGAGGAGAGAGTGGAGGCCTTTCTCCAGGCGGAGACTTCCTCCCGGTCCAGGGCTAACAGAGGAGCCTCACAGAGGGCCCATTGTGCGCGGTGGCCCTGTAGAGCCGTACATGAAAGCAGCGCATGCCTCGCTTTCACCTCAGGAAAAGGGGAAGACAAATATCTCATGCTTAAGTCTGATTAAGTTATGCGTCCCCAGATGAAAAAAAGAGGATAGGAAGCTGCTGGGGGGGCCGCGTCTCCGAGTGTATTTGGTTTCCGCAGCAGGTTCTTCCTTTGTGTATGTGTTTTAATGCGTCGTGCTGTGGGCAGGCTGATGTGACCAAAACCAGCTTCTCCCCTGCGCTCGGTCTCAGTGCCTACCTTCACGAGCACACGGCAGGTAGAGCACCCGGCGCGCACACACACCCTCACACATCACCCCCCCGACCCGCACACACACTATAACACAACGATACACAAACACACACATATACCCACACTCCCCCTCTCAAAGGTGCCCTGAGCGAGCCGTTACATTGGCCAGGCCCACCAGCCCTGTGCATGTCCACGCTGAAGAGAGGGACCATTTGGGACAGCAGCAGACAGAGGTAAGCTTTCTGTGGACTCTATTATGCAAAATAATGTGCTTTTATTAAATGTAATGTATTAGACTTAATTTTGCACTTCTATTGTTGTAATTTGCACCTGATGTGTATGTATATATATATATATATATATATATATATATATATATATATATATATATTGCTTGTAGGCATATTTTTGCAAAATCTTGGCATTTTGATATACATGTTATTGCTTGTGGTAGTGTAATGGTGATCATTCTGTAATTTCCATTTTTGTCATTTTTGCCTCATATGGCTGGCTTGTATGTTGCAATATTAACACACTGCTGCAAGTTATGGCTCATTTTTTATTGCTATCTGTCTTCTGTTTGTTTTAACACTGAGAACTGTGGATAGCATAATAATAACACCATGCAAATGTATTGGACCAGACCATATAATTCCAGCTGGTCATCCAAACCAGGAGCCTAATACAAAGTTTCCTTACATTTAACAAGGATTACATTCATAACAGCCATAATAGCGAGTGGTAAATTAATCAGTAATAGCATGTGCATGTACTCATTTGTGCAAAGTAGGACAATCATAAGCTGGACTGTCTCAAATGTATCAATATTCAAAGGAAATTGAATTTGCTGGCACAGAAATTGTGAAATGAATGAATATGTGGAATGCTTAACGCAGAGCCAAGGAAAACATAGGGGCGCGCACACGCACACGCACTCAGGCACACTGCACACACTGATGGGAGAGCATAAAAGCCCAGCTCTGTGTGAAGCATAGTCCCTCTTTCAGTATCTCCCCGCTGAGTTCGAAGTCAGGCTCTGGCCACAGAACAGCCTCACTGAGAGCTCGTTTCTCCTCACAGGGCTGCAGAGCGAACGCAGGCGTTCAGCTGCATCCTTAATTAAGTACTGTAAATTACTGTAAACACACTGTCATAGAGCGGCACCTGAATATAAATATAAATGCAAAAATGCTTCTCAAACATCTGACCCTAAAAATAGCCAAATCTTGAAGAAGTTCACAGAAAGAAGTGTGTATGTGTATAAGTGTGTCTCTGTGCATGTGTGTGTGTGTGTGTGTGAGAGAGAGAGAGAGAGAGACCAAAGAAAAAAAAAAGTGAATCCTGAGACTTCTCCCCTCAGCCGTAACTCACTGCCATCCTGTCCACAAACCCTGGTGGAATTTCGAGTGTGAGCGCTGACACAGATTTGGATAGATGCTTATAAAGAAGCTCTGTCAGAGCTCTCTCTCTCTCTCTCTCTCTCTCTCTCTCCCTCTTGCTGGACTCTCTCCGTCTCAGCCCGAGGACCAGAACCTCGTCCACAGCATTTCTTCCTCAGCTCTGATTTTGTATTTAGCCTCCCTCGCTCTGAAACCTGATGGCGATGACCTTCATAACCCATTATAGAAATCTGGGACCCATACTGGATTTCTGGGTCATTAAAGGGCCCAAATCATACATTTGTTGTGTATTATTTATTGTTTTTCCTTGAATCTTATAATATTGTGTGAGTATATGGAACAAAAACACTTTTAGTTCTTTTTACATCACTATTTTCCAACCTCTCTATATCCCTTAGAATTAAAAAACTCATATATGTTAATGACCTCTCTCTTCTGATTGGCTATGCTTCTTTCAAAAATCAGTCTGGACTGAAACACTGGGTGGGGCTAAACTGCTGTAGGCTGAATAGGAGGATACACGGTGTTGATTTCATGACATCACAAAAAATAATAGATTTAAAGTGGGCTGCTTTTGCAGTTTAGTGTCCATTTAGTGTCTATCTGTCTTCAAACTTTAACAACTCTGGGTCTTTTATTATGAAAAGAGCAAGAAAAACTTGCTTTTACGTGATGAAGGCTCTTTAACAATAACGGGTAATTAACACCAGCAATACTAATAACTCATACTTTTAAGTTTTGTTTAAAAAAAGAGGTTAAACTATGTGTAAGGCAGGTTAAAACTCTAAAGATTACAATATTTAGTTTGCTTTCTTATCTAGAACAATTCACAGCAGTATTCTAGCAAGACATTAGGAGTCTAGCCCACAGACTCTTATTAGTATAGCAGTGGTATTCCTGGAAATTGAACTCCAGTCCCTCATGTATGCTAGTTTCCCCCACTCTGCTCCACTTTTTAAGAATTTAAAGGAAAATGCCCATCAATACTGTCTACACAGGTCACTTCATGCACAAACTAAAATCAGTAAATTATTTTTAGTAGTTACTGATTGTTTTTCTCACAGGAGGACCATTAGGGCCTTCTAGGCCTTCAGAGAAGCATTAATGATGTCTGTGTAATTGAAAAAAGTGTAATTGTTGCTCATTTTTAATTCATCTAATCATCATCAAAGGGATACAATCTTGAAACACCCGATGGAAAATCATCCGATCAGAATTTCTGGTAACACTTTCTATGAATGTCACATTTGTAAGCATCTATAAACACATTTGTAACATGTTATAATGCCTTCATATGGCATTATAAACATGATTATAAATATTTATAAAAAAGAATTACACTGAATTACACTTTATAGTCATGTTTATTATACAATATGAATTGTTAATATAATGCATTATAAGTAGTGTTAATAACATGTTATACTGCCAGTGCCAAAGAAGTCAGTCCCAGCTTGGAGAGCGTAAAGTAAAGACAAATACCAAGCTAACGGTGGTGAACATTACCTTTCCCACATTGGGTAAAACACTGATGGCAGCTCTAGTTTAAACTCTGACATTTGAAGCCTGTAATGTGCTTTACTGTGAATGTTTTAGTGTTTCAGTAAATCCTTCAGTAAATACTTCAACTTGTAGCCTCACTCTGAACACTGGAGGAGGCTTTAGTACAGTACGCTTCACTTTACTTAGAGTGGACAAATACGACTTATGAGCTCTTATAATTTGTTATGACCAGTACTTATAATGTATTATGTAAACAATTCATAATGCATAATAAGCGTGGCTATAACGTGCAATGCATATTTATAAATATTTATAGCCATGTTTATAATGCCTTATGAATGCATTATTACATGTTATGAATGTGTTTATAGATGCTTATAAAGGTGACATTCATAGATGTAGCCAAGCAAGCTCTCCCATTGGCTAGGACATCAAGAACAGGACAAGAGACATAACATGTCAGATAAACAGCCAATTTAATTAGGAAGTGAGCAATCTAACCAGTAGTTGAACTACAAAGCCCACCCTCCTCGGACACAGTTGACTCTAAGCCACACAACTACACTAACAACAGCAACGACATCAGCAACAACAGCAACATTGAGCATCCATTTTACCTGAGAGTGTGGCTCTCCAGACACCCTGCACGGCTGTATCCCCTCCTCATTGCAGCGTGGTCCATGGTGGGCACCACAGTATACTTTGCTACTGTGAAGAAAGAATGACCGAACATGACCGTGAACCAGCTCTGGTACGGCTTTTCCCCGAATTAGGCTAACTGATGTAAGCTAGATCTAACATACTGACATGACAAGCTAACATGTTGGCACTTCCTCCACCAGAGGTGTGGACTCGAGTCATATGACTTGAACTCAAATCCATCTCGAGTCACGAATTTCATGATTTTAGACTCGACTCGAATCTAAATCAAGACTTGACTTTGACTTGAACACCAGTGACTCGGACTTGGACTTGAGTGTCATGACTCAGAAAGACTTGAGACTCAAAGTGGAAGAAATGTGGAGAGTCTGAGTGAATTTGTTTCCTGCTGTGAATTGAATAAACAACAATGTCGTCAAATGGCAGTCACTGTGCTCATGCTCGGTTTATTTTATTGCGGAAGACAAGAGAAGCGCCAGGGCTCAAGTTCGTCTCCGTAAGCTGGAAACAAGCGAAGCATCAACAGCATAAATGCACGCTCACTAAGCTGACTCTTACTGAAGGAGCTCACCAGGCGAACTGACTGTGTTCCTCACAGCATCTCTGCTAGACCGATTTTAACAGCTTCTGCAGGTTCATATAGGAATTCACTGTTCCACCTTAAGGGAAAATTCAATTAAGAAGCTGGCGAAATAAAGTCAACTTCAGCTTCGTACATTCGCCATCATTTTGCTGTCTTTTCTGTAAACTTTGTTCAGCTCGGTGGTTTTGGTTTCTCTTGTTCTCTAAATTCAATTCAAACTAGCAGTTGTTTTTAGTTGGCTGAGCTAGTTTTTATTTTAATCCTGTTCCCAAAAATCATAGAAAATAATCTTCAAATATAAAGTTTTTTTTTTATTTTTTTTATTAAGTTTAGTAGTACTTTTAAAATTCTTTTCATATGTACCGCACTACTCTTTATGTATACCAGTATGTCTGTCATGGTTATCTGTGTAAAAAAATATAAATAATACTAAAGTAATACTATAAATTTAATATACAGCCATAAACTGTTAACATGCTGTCATTAAAAGGCTACAGTACTATTAACATTACTCAGTGTTATGGCCTTAAATTAGCTGAAGAATACAGACTGACTTGATTATGACTGAAAGATTAGGACTATTGACTTGGGACTCAACTTGAGACTCACCTGTACTGACTCGGGACTTGAATCGAGACTCAACTGTCTTGACTTGGGACTTGAGTGTGAAGACTTGAGACTTTCTTGTTACTTGCATCTTAGTGGCTTGTTTCCACCTCTGTGCTCCACTGAGGAGAATATATCTTGTGTAGAAGATGATGAATCCTTATGAACAGCCTACATTACATATAATGAAAATAGTTAAAGACATAGTCGGACTAAACTTGCATGAAAAGCTGACGCTCTTCTAAGCGGGACAGCTGGACTAAGCTGAAAAGGAAGACATTATCCAGTGGAAAGGAGCTAATATGGAGCAAAAAAAGACCACTCGATTTGGTTCTTTAGGTACTGTTCACATTCTGAGGGGTCATTTTTCAGACAATAACGATGTCAGTGATCTATCCAACAGGGCTGTACAGCACATTCAGTAACACAACAAACACAGACAAAGAAGAACATTTATAAATATGATTTTTTTGACTGTCTC